GTGCGTCATATAGTTACAGCTAAACCCTGCGCACAACATCCCGCAGGCGAGGGTCGGGCTCTGCGTAGTCAAAGGGCAAATTCGGTCATTGAAAAATTTTGGCACGATAATGCAAGATCACATGTCGCGAAAATTTTGCAACAAGAAATCGAGGAGTTGGGCTGGGACGCTCCCTCTCGCGCCATATAGCTCAGACCTGGCACCGTCCAACTATCACTGACCCAGGTCAATACAAGCACTCCTTAGCAGCAAATAAATTCAATAACCGCGACGACGTCAAAATTTGAGTACCTAACTTCTTCGAGTCGTACCTGGAAGAGTTCTACGAGGTAGACCTCCATGCTTTGCATAACAAAAGGTGGAGAGTGGATGACACACATAAAGGAAATAAATTAGGTTGATAAGCTTTGGTATAGCTTTTATACTTAAAATAATCTTTGATCAAAAACGACATTTCAAAGTTACCAACCTAATAAAAAAGAAAGTCAAACGTAATACTATCGAGAAAACTTACCAAATTGACCCGTAAACGGAGGCGGTGCAAATGGATATGTCCATGGAGGAATGGGGGGAGGAGGTGGCATTCCAAATATACCCGCAGGAAACTGCGGATTAGGAGGAGGTAGTGTGAAGACTTGCTGTGGTTGCTGTGGTGGAGTTGGATTAGATGGTGGAGCAACATTTTCCTGATCACTACAGGAACGCGACGCAGCGTAGTTCAAAGGGGAATTACTGAAAAATGATTCAGATGACGCAGTCTATCAATACGTAGCAAATAACACTTATGGTTAGCTCTACGAAGAGCAATCAAATTATACTGACATTTATCTTCTTACCTTGATGACGACTGCCTATTCGCATTATTGCTCGGAACATTTTGACTACGGCGGTACGCAGGTCTGTAAATCATACACTACGCTGACCATCAAAATCTAAGCCGTGACTGAAGTGGAGTCAATTTTTTCCTCACAAGTTTTCCTCCTCGTCATCATCTTGTCGCGGTGTTCGACACGTTCCATCCTCGTACTGAGAGGGAGATCTCATCGGAGTATAACCACCATGACCTGAATTCTGGCAACATGCAAAAGTGAAGGGCACCTATGAGTAAAGGAGCATTCCAAAATAAGGTTGAAGGTTGAAGAAGGAGGAAATGCGCAGCTGGTGGAAAGGCGGGCTCGCGACGCGGCACACCGACTAATGGCTAAGTGATGTCAGAAGCTTGTTGGGAGCAGCTACTATTAAGGTCATCGCTTGCCTCTTCATTTTGTGAGGGCATTATCCGAGTAGCCGTAAATCCATGACCTCCTCGCCTTCGCTTCCTCTCAATCAAGGATGATGAAAGGGCGAAGTCCGGCTATCAGGGTACACACATGCAAGCTAATGGCTCCGTCTCGGCCACGGACTCGTCCAATGCGGACATCACCGTACCCAGTAAGGCCCATCTTCTCGTCGGGTCCTTTCTTACACCACACGGCACAGACCACCTCTGCACATTTTCAAAAATGATCGTTTATCATGCAAACCACCTAACTGACGCGAACTTTAGTCAAAACCACCCCCCCAACCTCCCGCGACGAGCTGGCCCTACGTACGTACTCGCGGTCTGATGCCGCGAGTGCGCACAAGAAAGGGACACCACACGGGAAACCCCCAACGAGCGTGCCCGCCAATTCATGATCAACTGCCCGCTAGGCCGCAAAACCCCAGCTGGTGGAGTATAAAACAGCCCTCTCTACCGTAATTGAGTAAACGAAACTTTCCATCTCGCGTTCGATAATCATTCCTTTAATGGAAGTGTTTTTGGAAGTAAACAAACTACCATAATAGTACTGTAAAGTGGGTCTTCAGATCTGCTAAACAATTCAGCTGGATTTTTCCAATCTCAACGCCTCTCATCAGGATGAGAATTGTTCTGCTCCCTTTTCTCGCTTTAAATCTGACAGTTTTCTGTGTACACAGGTAACCAACCTGGAGGGGCGTCAAAAGCATTGATGGCTTCCATCTGTTGGGATTAAACCGATCCTTCGTCAGTGACCGCACTTCCTACAAACCACCACCAAACTCATTATCAACAGCGTAAGCTGTACGGTTGGGCAAACAGAGTAATATCTTGATCCCTCATAACCGACCCATCCACAGCTGCGACTGCCGAGTCTATCAGGCAGCAAATATCACTACCACTTCCCAAAAATACCACACCTACCGAGTCACGTCCGTCCGCAATTTTCTCCACGACATTCGACCCCGCCTCCACGGTTTTAAGGAGGGGGGCGCCACTCGACCACCTCCCCCACCACCCCAGGTCTTAGGAGGCTATCCCATGATGACCTCCCTCCCCTTCCCTTTCTCTAATCATCACCCTCACCCAATCGGGCTGCACTACAAGTATTTGATCTGAAACTGTGATACAGCCCACCACTTCCAATTTTCATCAAAAAATCCGTCCAGAACACAACCCCTTCCGCCCACCGACTCCATCAACCTCCGTCCCACTGAACATCCACTTCTCAACGTACAACCCTCCCACTCCGAAATCACAATGCCCAGCCCTTTCGAAAGTCGTAACATACGGTGATCCTGCCTCGACAACAACTGGTTATTGGGCACGCGGAAGTACGTGCCCTATGTAAGCACAACAACCGCAAGTGGAGCGCCACGACAATGGTCCAGAGATGGCTACTAGGCTTCATGAGAAAAAGGACAATCACATCGGATGTCAATTGTAAGGCCCAAGCGATCACGTGCGATCAAGCACGCACGGAAGAAAAAATACTCACCAGAACGGTCACCGCTCCCATTGAAATGACGTGCTGGGGTAGCCTAAAACATTACGGTAATTGCTAGGAGACTGATCAAAGTCAAACGTTCGAAGAAGTTTGGATTTTGTGGATCGAAAAAAGTAATTCACTATGTGTAATTACAATCCATATTAAAGAGAGTAGCAAATTGAAAACGGTGGGGAAGAAACAGAGGAAAGAGAAAAACATGAATTCGGTACTTCCAAAAGTCTTGCAGCATTTTCTATGACATGGAATTAGATTGATAAAGCAACACCCCCAGCAGAAGTTGTGACAAAAAATCTATTCAGTGGATGAGATAGAGTAGCCCACCAGTATCACAGATGTGCCGTTGTCGCGGCTCAAAAGTGCGCGACAATGGCGCTAGGGTCTTACAAAGTCAGCTTTGGCGACTAATCTTAGCATTTGGACGAGTTACGTCGCGCACACCCCATGACACGCAACGTGGATTACGGCGTAGCGGCTAATTCAAATACGCGCGGGTTAGTTGAGCCGTGGAGCAGGCAAGTTCGTACAACTCGTCTGGCCCCCCCTTCCTTATTTCAAGGGGAATCCTTGTTTAGGGCTTCATCGACGTTTTCTTTGCTTTTCATTTTTAGTCAACTCGGCATCCACAACTCCATTATCGACCGTTGTGACCTCACAAACTTGATCTGGGGGTGTTGCTTGAGTGAAATTTTGAAACTCACCCTTCCATCGTCATCATCTTGTTGAACACGTGATCGAGGGCGTGACGTTGGAGCACCCGGCGTGCAAGGTCGCGGCGTGCGCGCACCACTTCGAGGAGCCTCGTCGTAGTAGGGAGTTCGACCTCCTGGTTGTGGTGTTCGAGATCCAGTATTGTGATATGGGGTTTGACCACCATAAGCTGGGGTTTGACTACCATAAGCTGGAGTGCGACTACCAGAATTATGGTACGGAGTTTGACTTCCATACGCTGGCGTCCTAGCACCTGAATTGTGATAGGGAGTTTGATTCCCTGGAGTCGGCGTCCGAGCGCGGTAATCGTAATGCGGAGTTCGATTTCCTTGACCTGGCGTAAAACCACCAGAATTATAGTGAGGAGTTTGGCTTCCATAAGCCGGCGTCCTACCACCTGAATTGTGATAGGGAGTCTGATTTCCTTGAAAGGGCGTTCGACGACCAGAATTATAGTATGGCGTTTGGTTTCCATGAGCTGACGAGGTGGTTTCCTCCTGAGATTCTTGACCATACTGCGGTGAAGCTCCGCTGTATCGCGGTGTTGCACCAGCACCTCCTTGAGTAGAGAGACCATATCTTGGTGTCTGAGATCCGTTGGCAGCCGCGAATTGATGGGCAGGTGTCCGTCCCCCATAACCAGGATTGGGGGTAAAGGATGCGGGTGCCCGCGTCTCATTAGTGTCTCTGGGTGTGCGGGAGCCAGCCTAAAAAGATCTACAGTTAAGATACCAGCTAAAATCATATGTTCTGGAAGAAAAACTATGCCACAGGAAAGATGAAAGAAAAAGCACGATTGCCTATCCAACATTGTGCAATATCCTTGCAAAATTGCAATAAAGGTCCAGAACAGCGACGAACAAAAAAAAAGGATTCTATGCAATACTAGTACTAGTCTAGGAGCTTGTGATAGAAAATACCACCTTTTGACTCATCCTATCAACATCCACATGGATATGCTGCAATTTAATTACGCCCTGATTTGAGTGTGGGTCAACAA